ACTGCGCTAAAATTAACTTCTTCATCATCATCTTTGTCTTCCATGTCTTCTTCGTCCTCCTCTTCCTCCTCCTTCTTACTTTTCTCAGCCTTGACAACTCCGTTTTTGGCGACATCCGGCGTAAGCAATATCCTGATGGTATTTCTCCTTCAGCTTGGCTGCTTTTTTATAAGGCCAGTTGTTGTCGGCTGTGTGATTCCACATCTCTCCCAGCTTCTTCGCAACCTCCCCAATGGACAGACCGGGGTGCTTGCCTTTGATTTGGGGGTGATAGTCTGAACAAAACAAGAAAAAGGCTGAAGGGGGCCTCAAGGGTGCATTGGGATCCTTGACCTTTTTTTCTCTTCCCTTTAGGAAGGATAGAAGTTTTCATTGATCTCTCCTAACAGGCCTTGTCCGCCTTAGCCATGGCTTCAAATTTCCCCTTCTCTTTAGCAGACATGCTCTTCCACTTCTCCAGCCCTTCTTAGAACTCTGAGAAACGGACAGAAGCAGCTGGGCGCTGCCGCTTGTGGGACTCCAGGCAAGTTTACACAAAAAATCCCCAGTGGTGAGAGCGGCAAAACTGGGAGGGTGGAGGGGAGGTGGGGTAGAAAGGGGGAACCAATTCTAAGGATCTACATAGAACTTCCTCCCTGGGGATGGACAACAGAAAAGCGGGTGAAGGGAGATGTCAGACAGTGTAAGATGTGACAAAATAATAATTTACAAATTATCAAGGGTTTATGAGGGAGGGGGGAGCGGGGAGGGAGGGGGGAAATACCAAGGGCTCAAGTAGAAAACAAATGTTTTGAGAATGATGATGGCAACAAATGTACAAATGTGCTTGACACAAGGCATGGATTGTGATAACAGTTGTACGAGCCCCCAATAAAATGATTAAAATAAATAATAAAAACGTGGAGAGGGAAGGGGCGAAATGAGTTGATACCAAAAGCTCAAGTAGAAAGAAGATGTTTTGAAAATGATGATGGCAACATATGTACGAATGTGCTTGACACAATGGATGGCTGTCTGGATTGTGATAAGAACTGTAAGAGCCCTCAATAAAATGATTTTAAAAATAAATACATAAAAATAAAAGGATTAAACTTTTTTTTTTAAAGGATTAAACTTATAAACACACACACACACACACACACACAAATGTACAGGAAGACATTTTGCCTCTCGGCTTCGTAGGACCCCTTTGCCCACGAGGAGTTATGTTTTATTTAGTCTGAGTTGCCCAGTGCCGTCTGGCTCTGCCTGGCAACGGCTGTCTATGAATCCTTTCATAAGATAGAATAATAATAATGAACCGCTAGCAGGTATGATTTTTATCATACTAAAGTTGTCTTTGCTACTTCACTGAGTAGAAATGGAGTCTCGCGGTTGCTTTGCCTCCCGTTTTGTGGATCACTCATGAGGGTGAACATGTTCCCCCAAATGGTTGGCTACCTGCTTGTCCCCTCTTGTGAATTGTCTCTTTGAAGTCGTTTATCGATTGAGGGCTTGGGCTTTTTGTACCTTCTATCGATCAAGGACACTAGCGGAGAAGAAGGTGAGAAGTCCCTTGCTGGGTCAGGGGAGGAGGATAGCGACTTACACGGAGACGCTGACTTCCACTGGGTCTGACCAGAGGGCTCTGGTGGCGGCCCCGAAGGAGAGGACATACAGCTTCTCCTTCTGGCTCAGCTGGTCATCCACGAGGCTCTGCCAGACAAAAGGAAACTGCTGCTCCAAGAGCCGAGGGGCGAATGAGGGGGCCTGCATCCCCCTCCCTTCCCTTGACTGGCCCCCGAGGGCTCAATCTGAGCTGCATTGAAGCAAGGCTGCTTGAAGCTAGGCTTAGTAGCCCAAAGGTGACATCTCCTTCCCATCCATTGTCTCTCCTAGGGACTGTGACAGGTGCTGGCTAGCTGCTCATCCAGCTGGTCTGTTGACTGGGGCATGGGGCATGGGTCTTCCGACCACTGGGATTGTGCCCTCCCTCCCTCCCACTGACTGATGGTTAAGATTGCGTCTGAAGTAGCACCTTAGGATTGCTTCACTCTGGATCGCGGGAAGTAGGTATGAGAGTCTTAGCTGCCTATCTCAACTTGCGCTAAGGCTACACTATCGTTACTGTGACACCCGGAAGGGGAGGACAGAGGGCGGGGCAGTGGTGTGTCTCATAGGCCTGTCACCCGCTTGCGATGCTCTCAAGCAGTAGCTAATGAGTCGCCAACAGTAAAGATAACCCCTCCCCTTCTGCCTGGCTAGTTGGAAATTTCACCTGCATGCCACCACCTGAGTCTTGCCTTAGCTACTATTATCGGTGGCTGTTTGGAAACTCCGCTGGTTGACCTTGTGGTGAAGGGCAACCTGTACCGAAAAGGTCTTGTGGCCTGACCCAGGCTAAGACCAGAGAGAGGACAGGACTGAGTGTCTGGCCCATGTGGAGTCACAGGAAAGGCCTTTGAACAGGCTCTGGATGCTCTTGTCCACATCTAAAGCTCTTGCCCTCACTGCCAAGGAGAAGGTCTGACTCATACTGACACTAGGACAGAATAGAACTGCCCCACTGGGTTTCCAAGACTGGACCTCTTTTACAGGAGTAGAAAGTCTTCTTTCTCCGGGGGCATGGCTGATGGTTTCCCATCGCTGACAGCAATTGTGGTAGCAGCTTCACTCATAACCCACTAGAGTACCACTCCAGGCCGCATTCACTGCCATCCCACCCATTCAGACTTGCAGCAACCCGAGAGGGCAGGGTAGTACTGCCTCTGTGGGTTTCCGAGACTACCATGCTTTATGGGAGTAGAAAGTCTCGTCTCCCTCCCTCCTCCAGAGTAGAGGCTGGTGGCTTTGAACTACGGACTTTGTGCTTAGCAGCCCAACATGAAACCTTACTATATCACCAGAGTTACTCAAACGGCACCAGCGCTCCCTGATCCAACGCTCTCAGGGTTGGTAAAAAGCCCCTCTATGTGACTTGACCGAGACTGTCGAGGTGTTTTGCTCTGCCAGGCTTTGTGCTGGGCATGCTCTTCTCGAACTCCCTTCAGCCCAACAACACTGGAGCGACGATTCCCATTGTGCAGGGAAGGTCAGTAAAGCACAGAGCGAGTAGGCAAGAGGGTCACACAGCCCCCAAGTGGTAGAGGTGGCTGGGATCGGATTCTAGCATCTGCTCTAGAGTTTGTCACTTCTCTGTTATGAACTCCGACGGATAGTATGTGTTTCCTCCAAACAAACTAGAAGAAACTAGGGGGCGTGCGGGGCAGGTTCTAGAAAAAGAAAAAGAAACCAGAAGAGATGCCCCCTGGGAAATGTTGAGAAGCCTGTGCTCCGATATGCTGGAGTCAACTCCTCGTGAGTCCTGTTTTCACATCCTCTTTCTAGGGCACTGTGGACTCTGGAAGCAGAGACTGTGATGCTGAGAATCCTAGAAGTTCACACTGCAGCTGAAAACTACTGGGCTGGGGTGTCTCGCAACTGAACACGCTTTTCTAACTGCAGGTGATAATTAAGTGGGAACTGTCCTTTATGAGATACTTCCTTTTGCATTCGCTGTAACAAAAGAATGAACTCACAGAGAGAGGGGAGGCCTGGTTTCGGGGACTTCTCCGTGCTGGGGACTTACCATGAGGTCCTTCTGGAACTCCTCTTTCTGGGGACCACTGCTCACCGCTGACACACCGATGAGAAGGCCGACTCGGGACCCTTTGATGAGGCCAAATGCCTGCAACCAAACACAGCCTTCTGAAGCAGGATGCGCAAACAATGCTGTTCTTCTCTCAAACCAACGGTGGGCCAGACGAGGCCCACAAAAATCACCTATGCCAGCTCGCATCACCCGCCCTGCAGTTGCAGCCATCACACGAAAGGGAGCTCATGAAATATTTGACCAAGAGAGCAGGCTAATTTTGAAGTTGATAACTTTGTACGGCCCATGGATGATGTTAAAAATATGCAAATGATCCCTATTGGAAAAAAGCTTTCTGAACTATTCTCTTAAACCTTTCACCTATCTGAGCAACATAGAGATGCAAACATTTCACTACTTCTTTTTTTAAAAAAAATCATTTTATTGAGGGCTCTTACAGCTCTTATCACAATCCATACATCCATTGTGTCAAGCGCATTTGTACATATGTTGCCATCATTTTTTCAAAACATTTTCATTTTTTGTTTCTACTTGAGCCCTTGGTATCAGCTCCTCATTTTTCCTCTCCCTTCATGAACCCTTGATAAATGATAAAGTATTGTTATTTTCATATCCTACACCATGCACTGTCTCCCTTCACCCACGTTTCTGTTGTTTGTCCCCCTGGGGGGGGGGGCAGCTATATGTCAATCATTGTGATTGGCTCCCACTTTCTCCCCCAACCTTCCTCTTACCCTCATGCAAACATTTTACTTCTACAGAAGCAAATGGAAACCCCATTTACAGAGAAAAAAGCCACCCAATATCCTGACTTTAGTGCTAGGTATCATCGGCCCCAATTGGTGGCAATCTATTATTAAACCTTTTGTCTCTCATATTTATTTTTCAGCCTTATAAAAGTAACACACATTCATTGTACAAAAGCTAGAAACTTAGAGAAAATCATCCATTGTTTTAGGCTATAAAGTTTGATATCTAATTGCACCAGCTAATCTCATTTAATTTCTTTATATTCTTATTTATTGTCTGCCTTCTCTGGCAGTCAAAGGCAGATGTGTTCATGAAGTTCAATGGCAGCAATGGTATGTCCAGGAGCTTCTCACAGACTTGGCTTCATCTGTCCCATGGCTGTGGGATTGTCCAGGTAGGAAGTGTCCATCCTGCCACAGTCGCATTACGAGTTGGAACTTTTAGTCACAGGAAATTGAACGTTCCCTCAACGCAATGAGTCCCATTTGGTATTCTAACTGACCTTCTATACGTATTGTTAATGAATTCATTGTCTTTCTTCCTCCACTAGACTGTAAGCTGAATGAAGCCAAAACTTTTCTATTGGCCGTATTTGTAACCTCAAACCCAGAACAATGTCTGATTCAGTAGTCACACAATAGGCATTGGGTGGATTGATGATCCAAATGAAGTGTGAGGCTTCCCAGGACACTGGTAATCCTTCAGAAAAGAAAATGCACTGCCATCATCTAGTCAATTCTGACTCATAGCAACCGCTGGGCCAGTGCGGTAGTTGGCTGATTTCATGTCAACTAGACTCTCCTGGTTAAGTGTGGAGTCTGTCGTTCAAGGAGGCTACACCTCCTTGGGGGTGGAGCCTTTTGTATAAGAGTGAGGGACTTTTTCTCTTCCTGCCCTCGTGCCTGTCTTAAGGGGCAGCCTCCCGCGAGTCGTCCAACCCTGAAAGCTGCAGGCGCCCTGTGAGGTTTCCATTGACCTTAGATCCATGAGACGCTGCACCCCCCGGGCTGGTGATCATCTGCTTCCTGCTTCACTTTTCTGCCTCACTAGCCTGCAGCTACATGCGTCAGAAGAGAGACTTCTGGACGAGCATCAGACTTGTGGACTTGAGTTGGACTGGGCTGGGATACTTTCTTGATAGATAGTTGTTTCTTGATATAAAGCTCTTTCATATATATATATATATATCTCACTGGATTTGTTTCTCTAGACAATGCAGCTTAACAAGTCAGTAACTGTTCAAATCTAGGATGAGTTCTATTCCTTTTAAATCTGTATTTTAAAATTTTCTATTAGTGCTTTTGTAACTGAAAATATGCATTCCCTTAAGCCTAGCCATTGAAGCTCCAGAATTACATCCTGAAGAAATAACTGGACAAGTGTGAGTACAGGAGGGAAAATGCGAGGCTAGTGACGGCAGAAAAGTCTGAAAGCAGGGGTAAAGGGTGAAATAACAGAATTTTTTCATGTTAGTAACTCATGTTTATATTAGTTAAGACACCCCTGTGTTAGACTAATCAACTATTTAAGAACAAATGGGCAGCACTGACCCAAGGACAGAGTTCAGAAGATTTGGGGGTGGGGGAGGAGAGGAGGAATCAAAACAGGAAACCCTGGGAAGTAGTGGGATACGTGATGTTGCATTGAGGGACTGTAATGAATGAGGGGAACAAAATGAGTAAGAATCACTGAATGAAAACTGATGATCTGCTCTGTAAACCTTTATCTAATTCACCATAAAAAGTTACCCAACGCCATTTAAAGGAATGGGGCCAAGGAGAATATGGCCGTGACCAGTATTATTGGCCCTTGTTGGTTACCTCTGTAATCAATGATTTGCCTTTCATCGCCATGCTTCCCTTGGTGTCTGAGCAAAAGAATTACTCAAACTTTCAAGAAGAGTAATGTTGACATCATCCATCTTAGTCTTCTAAATCAGATACAGAGACAGAAAGCCAGAGAAGGGAGGCCTTTTGCCCAGGGTCTCACTGACCAGGCAATTTGGAACTCAGTCCAGGGATGGCCTACCAATCAATCACTCAAGATGCTTCATGGAGGGGCCTGATGGTTTAATTACAGGTGATGTCTTCCCTGGGATCTAATCATGCTTATTTCATGCCTCATCTGTCTCAGAAAGGGTGGAAAAGAGGACATGCCCATCAATCCGTGCCCACTTGGATGAGGTAAGTGCATCATGCCTTGAATGGAGGATGCCAGGGTATCTGAGGATTTCATCCTTCTGAGTTCTCTCTCAAGAACCCTGGTGGTGCAGTGGTTCAGTGCTAGTCTGCTAACGGAAAGAGTTGCTTCCCTAAGGATTACATCTTTGGAAACCCTATGAGGCATTCTACTCTGGTCTATAGGTTCTGTGTGTGTGTGAGAGAGTTGGCTCCAGAGGAATGAGCTAATGGGTGGGGTTCTCTGTGCCTGTGTTATCATGTACAACCAGGCGTACCAGGTGCCATAGCTGGATACCTGCATCTATAGAGAAATCTAAGAGAGACAAGGATGTTCTGAAACTGAGATGGAGCCTACACTCCAGAAGTGGTTAGGATAGGCAGCCATGCAGAACTGGGGAAGGGGAGTTGGGGAGCATGGATTGCAGCATCTGCCTGGTATAGGGTTTAAAACAAGAGTTTAGGATCACTTAAGAGTAAGAGCAAGTGATTTATCAGAAAAGTCTGAGTTGGAGGAAAATAAGCTAAGGCAAGTTAAAGGTGAATCATCAAGCATTCACGAAAAGTTTTGTTTCTGAGGAAAATGGTCTTGTCCACTGGCCCTTTCCATGTACCACCATGGCTCCCTTTCACATGAGGTCAAACCAGCATTTACCCAAGCTCCCCTTACTTCTCCCATCCCTGCTTTTCCCCAGGTGAGACCTAGATAGTTAGTACGTCTCCTTCCCTTGGCCATAATTGGTATCTATTGGCCAGTGAGATCAGAGAACATCTTGGGACTTGAGTGGATGTTCTTTTTTTTTCTTTAAGAGTTTTATTAGCACTTCATCCACATGCCAGGCAATGCAGTAATTCAGTCATATCAAGAGCAGTTGTACAATTGTCACCATATTCAATTCTGGAAGATTTTCTTCTTCTTTGTATTCATTGTTATTCATCTCTTTTTTTCTAATTGTAGCAAATATACACAACAGAAAATCTCCAATTCCACAACTTCTACTTGTATCATTCAGTGTCATTGATTATACTCTTTGCATTGTACAACCATTATTGATATCCTTTTCCAAATTATTCTACCACCATTGATATAAACTCAATGCCCCCTATGTAACAACTCTTTCCCCTTCCCTATGGTAATCAATGGTCAAGTTTTGGTTTCTTTGCCCCCCTCCCAACCCCCCGTGACTTCCTTGATATAGTATTCACATATCCTATACTTCCATGGCTAAATCACGTTTTAAATGAGTTGCTGGATGTTCTAGGAGAGGAGAGGAAAGTCCTTTTCCACTGCAGTTATCTAACTCTTGGCAAGGGAGTGTAGAACTCCTGGTGACATCTTCCTAAGCCTGAGAAGAGACTTCCTGAGAATCAAACCAACCTAAAGGAAACAGAGTCCAGAGGCAAAGAGAAATGGTGACATAATTTGAGCATCTGGAGTGAGCTGAGCTTCAGTTTTTCCCTTTATAAGATTCAGAAAGTGCTATTTTTTATCAAACCAGTTTAATTTGGGGGCGATCACTTGCAACAGAAAGAGTCCTAAATAATACAGATGGAATGAAAGAGGGCAGAGAGCGAAGACATGCGTGTTACCTTCTTGCTGTTTTCAGTGAGCCACTGGATTCTCTGTTGATAGAGTTCCATAGCTCTGCCAAGACAACAAACACATTTGTCACCTGAGGTCACTTAAGTGTCTACAGGGAAGGAAGGGCTGCATAGTATATTTTTAAAGGTGTCTAAAGCATTGGGAGGCTGCAAGGTGGCTGTGAAACGTGCATGGAAAAATGGAATGAAAAGATAATGAAATTTCCCCAAGAGTTTGAACTCCCCACACATAAGGCAAGTGTAGCAAAGAGAAAATGGGTGTTAGTTTGCCAGCGTACAGGTAAAAGACCAAGGGAATGAGGAAAGGGCGTGTGGCTGCTGTTCCACCTCATAGCATGCAAGGGGAGGGGACATCACTGGGTCCTGTGCCATGCGTGCAGTTACTATGTTTGAGGCAGTAGTAGGGAAATATCCTTCCCCAGAAGGAAGACCCATCAATATGATTATTACTCAAATTTCTGTACCAACTACTAAAGCCAGAGATGAAGTAATTGAAGAACTCTGCCAACCTGTAAAATGTGAAATTTGCCAAATGTAAAATCAAGATGTATTGATAATTACTAGTGATTGGAATGCAAATGTTGGAAACGAAGAGGAAGCACTGGTAGTTGGGAGATATAGCCTTGGTGACAAAAGTGAAGCTGGAAATCACATGGTGGAGTTGTGTTAGACAAATGACTTACTCATTGTGAATACCTTGTTTTCAACCACCTCAATGGTGACAATACACATGGGCCTCGTCAGATGGAATACACAAGAATCAAGTCGACTGTAATTATGGAAAGAGAGGACAGAGAAACTCAATATCATCAGCCAGAACAAAACCAGAGGCCAGTTGTGGAACATACCACCAATTCCTCCTACCTCATACGCAAGTTCAAGTTGAAGCTGAAGAAAATTCAAGCAAGTCCACAGAACCAAAACATGATCCTGAATATTTAGAGACCATCTGCAGAATATATTTGGCACATTGAACACAAATGACCAGACAAGTCATATGAAGACCATCAAAAGCATATCTGAAGAGAGAATAACAAATGCTGGAGACGTGTGCAGAGAGTGGAACTCTTACACACTGCCCGCGAGCTCGTAAATATGTACAACCATGGCAGAAAGCGATAGGACACTCCCTACGACAATTGGGAATAGAAATGCCATGCAACGCAGCAAGGCCTTTGCTGGGCATCCACCCTAAAGATGTAGTAGACAGAACACGGACAGATGTGTGCTCTCCCATGTTCCTTGCAGCACAGTTCACAAGTAGTCAATCACAAAAGAATAAATATTGTATGATCTCATCTCAGCTGGGGTCAGTTTCTCAAGATGGGGCTGGGGTGGGGGGGGAGAAGACCATTCTGTTTCTGCCATTCAATATTGTGCTAAGGTTACCCCGAATCCACAGACACTCCTACAAGAGTGATGAGTGAAACTTACTCATGATTCAGGTCAAGACTGGGGAGGACATGTATGTCTCTGAGAAGGCAATTACACTCTATTGGTGGGTAAACTGCGTGGAACAACTTTCCATCAGGAAAAAACACTTAACAATACTTATTGTACTGTGTTCCTAAATGGGTACTTTTGACTTAGTTTCTATCTAGCCCTTGGTGACCCAGGCCATGTGCTATAGACTATTGGGATTTTAGACCTTGTCCTTTTGAGGCACACAACATCCTTCATAAGTCACACCAGAAGGATTTGATGTAGAAACCCCACTAAGCAAACTGGGCTTTGCCTCAAACTCACCTGTAGGAGACTTATGGAACTGACACCCTCTTTGGACTTAAGGCTGAAATGTCCTAGTATGAGAAGAAGCAGATGACTACTATCCCAAGGTTATGGAATCGAGGGATCTCTTTCTTTGAGGGTGCCCAAGGAAGGGTGGCCTGGGACGACCATCTATTTACTACTTAAATGCTTCCCTTGCTTTCTACAAGCATTAGTCTGATAGACACAGGCCAAAAACAAACCACAGAAAGTGTTATTGAGAGTTCTGCCCTATCACTAACCTCCATGTTTCATGTAAATAGTGTCCAGCCACTTAAATTTTTAATCTATATAAATTCAACTACTGCAGTATGAAAAGCTTGCCTATACATGTATAATTTCCCTTTCTCAATAGTGCTTCAAATTCTATATCATTGGCTAGATTAATGATACTATTAATAGAATTATCTTATGCATGCAGGGTATGACTTTTAAGATTCCCCAATGAAAAGATATTGATAACTCTAACTCGATAACTCTCACCTGAACCACAGACATATGGAATCCATACAGATATGAATAGATTTTGAGCTCACATTTAATTCTAGCCCTAACGTAAGAACAATTAGTTCTTATGACACGGCCCTACTCCATACTTGCCCCCATGAGGAGATCACTAAAGATGGGTGTTATAGCCGAGTGTGCTGAAGAACTCAGGGAATAACTACATGTCAGAAAGAACAGTGTCTGAGGTCTTAAAAACATTTCTCAAAACAAGCAGCCATGTCAGTGAGGTGTCAGCTTAGTCCACACGAAGGAAGCACACCAGCACTGTGATCCAAGGACTGCCACTAATAAAATCCAGTCTGGAGGAGGAAATGGTATCGGACCTTAAATTGTGATCACCTGGGCTGCAAAAGACTATGGGTGACAGTGGGAGGACAAAATCCATGCGCAGAGTCTCCATATGGATTTAGACTCCAGGGAACCCCCTCAATCCAGGGATGTGAATAGCCTTCCTATCAGACAGAGAGCGTTGTAAAATCAAGTATGGTAGATGGAGTTAAGTTACAATGTACCATTATCATTTGATCTCCCCTTTGACCCATTTTAAAGTTGCTTCAGGTTTTATTATTTTCAGCTTCCCTTTCTAGTCATGTTTTTCTCTGTTTTGTCCTTTTTTGTCTTCTGTTTATGTTTTGTATGCTTTTCTATATATGAAATCCAGAAAAAGGTCAATCTATATAGACAGTAAACAGACCAATAATTACCTAGGGGAATGACAGGGGAGGTTGGGGCTCTAACAATGAGTATGAGAAGAAAATATGCCAAAATTGATCGTGGTGATGATTGTACAACTCTTCTTAATATAATTGCATATTATTAAAACTATTAAAAACACATATGAAGAAAGGAAGGGTCATTGAAAAGACGAGAGGAAAAACAAATCACAGACAAGACTCTGCAGTCTTTTCTGAGGAAGAAGGGGGAACATGATGGTGGGGCAGGAGGAGGCAAAAGGAAACAGAGGAAGGCTCTAGGAAGCAAAGCTATAGATAGAGGTATTAACAGAGGTGAGTACTTATGTAAATACATTAATCCATAAAAACAGAGGTATTGGCCTTTGTACATATATTTATAAAGCAATACACTGAAACTGTGGACGGCCCTTGGGCCTCAGCTCATATCCTCCCTCAATACAAGAACACTTTGTTCTAACAAAATGGCATTTTGTGATGCTCCCTCCCCCACACCTCACCCCCACTCCACCCCCTGACATGATCACTGATGACAAAATGGGTGCATAAGCAGATGTGGTGAAGACAGCGGATGGCACCCGGCTATTAAAAGATATAGGGTCTGGGTCTTAAAGGCTTGAAGTTAAACAAGCAGCCATCCAACAGTGAAGCAACAAGCCCACATGGAAGAAGCACACCAGCATGAGATGTCATCAAGACCAGGTAACAGGAATCAGAAAACCCATTCCAACAAAAACATATTGTTGAGAATGAGGGGGTCAGAGCAGAGACTCAAAGCCCATCTGTAGACAATGGAACATCCCCCTACAAAGGGGTTGCAGGGAAGGGATGAATCAACTAGGGCGCAGCAAAGAACCGTTGAAACACACAATATTCCTTTGATCTCTTGAGGCTTCCTTACCGCCCCCACCCCCACTATCATGACCTCAGTGCTGCTCCCCACTCTGGACTGGATCAGAGCATGTGCATAAGTATAGGCAAGAGATCAAGTTCACGACACATGGAACCCAGGAACAGGAAAGGGAATAGCAATACCAAAAGGGTAGGGGGAATAAGGGGAGAGGTGAGGAGGAAGGGGTTACTGATCGCAATGAATGGCACATAACCATACACCTCCTTCCAGGAGGAAGAACAACAGAAACCAGAGGGGAAGGGAGGCAGCGGTCATGTAAGATATGAAAATAGTAACAGTCTACAATCTATTAAGGTGCCACGAGCGTGGGAAGGGAGGGGAAAAAAGGAGCTGACCCCAAGGGCTCAATAGAAAGTAAATGTCTAGAAAAGAATGATGGCAACATATGTACAAATATGTCTGATACAATTGATGGGTTGTAACAAGAGTTGTAAGAGCCCCCAATAAAATGATCTTAAAAAAAGAAAGAAAAGACTCTGAGCCCTGCTCTCATTTGCTTAGTGAAAGCGAACAGAAGAAAGTATGCAGTAAAAACGCTGAAAGGAAAATTTCACAGAGCAGCTAGAGAATAGAGTATTATAATGAAATGCATAAAGACCTGGAGTTAGAAAATCAAGCCGAAAGAAATGAAGAAAAATCCAAGCCTCAGGTCGTAATATTGGAAGGTTCTGTGGGCAAAATACTGAATGACACCCGAAGCAGTCCAAGAAGAGGAAAAGAAACCACTGAGTCACTGTATCGAAAAAGAAATGGTTGACGTTCAATCATTTCAGGAGGTAGCTATGATTAAAAAGCACTGCTATTGAAGGAAGCAATTCAAGTTGCACTGAAGGCATTGGCAAAGAACCAAAGCTTTAGGAAATGACAGAACAACCACGGAAATGTTTTCATAAACAGATAATGCACTTGCAGGCACTTACTTGTCTAGGCCAAGAAATTCCACTCAACTGGAAGAGATTCCTATATGGGCCCATTCCAAAGAAAGATGGCGCAACCAAAGGCAGACATCCTCAAATCATAACAAATTATGGGTAACACCGAGAAAAATGGGGATTCCAGAACACTTCATTGTGCGCAGGCAGAAACTATACATAGACCACACTTAGTTCAAAGAGAAACGAGGGATACTGTGGGGCTTAAAATTAGAGAAGAGGTGCATCACGATTGGATTCTTTCATGATATTTATTCAATCTGCCGAGCAAATAATATGAGAAGATGAACTACATGAAGAACACTGCACCAAGACTGGAAGAAGTTTCATTAACAACCTGGGATCCGAAGATGACACCCTTGAAGCATTTACTAATGAAATCAAAGACTACCGTCTTCACTACGGTGGTACCTCCGGGTAAAGAAAACAAACATTCTCATAACTGGACCAACAAACAGCATCGCAACAAACAGAAAAAAATCGAAATTGCCAGGGATTTCATTTGACTGAGATCAACACCATAATCAATACACATAAAAGCAGAAGTCAGGAAATCAAACTACATATTGCATTGGGCAGATCTGCTACAAAAGACACCACTTTAAAGTGTTGAAAAGACCTCATTTTGAGGAGCATGGTTCACCCACATCAAACCATGGTATGCTTAATTGCCTCCTATGCATGGGAAAAAATGGACAACGATGAGGAAGATTGGAGACGAATGAATGCATTTGAGTTGGAGTGTGGCAAAGAATACTGAACCGACCATGCGCTCCTAGAGAAGTGAACAAACCTGTCCTGGGAGAAATACGAGAAGAATGCTTCACAGAAACAAGGCTGCAGGGACTCGATCCACACACTTCGGACGTGATATCAGGAGAACCAGTTCTTGGAACTGCTTCCTCTTTTGTCAGAGAGGAAAATCCTCGGTAAGATGGATGGGCACGGTGGTTGCAACAACGGGCGCAAGGACAGGAAATATGAGGGGGCGGTGCAGGACCAGGCAATGTCTCACTCTGTTGTGTGTGCTCGCTCGATGGCACTCAACAACCAACATCTCTAGGAAAGCAGCTGACCGCATCTTCCATTCATGGAGCGCCTGATGGATTAGAACCGCTAACCTTTTGGTAAGCAGGCGAG